CCGTTTTACCCCCTTCATCTATCTTACGCGGTTTAGATTTTTTCATACAAATGTTTTTTCCCGCTATCTCCCGTTCCCGTGGGAATTTTGCAATACCCTGTTGTAACTAAGCTTTAAGTTTACTAAGGTACCTGCATGCCAAATTTCAAGTGTCTAACTTAAGCGGTTTAGATTTTTCATAGAAAAGGATTTTCCCGCTTATTCCCGTTCCCGTGGGAATTCCTAACTATACTATAACTTGCCCAGGAGTATGAAGAATAATTGTACCAAGTTTCGATAAAATCCGTCGAGTAGTTTTTATTTCTATAAAGAACATACAGGCAGACAGACAGACGGACAAAAATTTTACTAATTGCATTTTTGGCATCAGTATCGATCACTAATCACCCCCTGATAGTTATTTTGAAAATATATTTCATGTACAGAATTGACCTCTACAGATTTATTATAAGTATAGACTAGAGATGAAACGGATAGTTGTTTGGCCGGATACCGGATACCGGATATCCGGCGAGCTGCTAGGCCGGATAGCCGGATATCCGGCGGCGGCCGGATAGTTGTCCCATTGTCATGTTGCATGTCGTAACGAGTTTAGCGCTGCACAAGTGCTTCGAACGCGATCAAGTAGGTCTAGTAGACTAGACAAGTCACACTTTTCGAAAATCGAATTCGTTCGAACTAAGGGGCAGATCAATTCGGGCGATTTCGGTTGCCATCGTGAGTATGTGATTGAATAGCGAAAATTCAATTTGTTTACTTGCTGCGAAATCTGAATGAACTGCATTATACAGGGTGACTTTGAAATCGTTGGCATTATTTTTAAAATAAGACTACTCATGATTCCCCAAATATGAGTCATATCAAATGAATTAAAATTTCAATATTTGAAATCTTGTACAGACGACAGTACATCAATCTTCATATTGTGGCATCTTATTTCAATGTATTAAGTGTTATTTTGCAACAAAATGTATAGGATGATGTGCTGTTGACTGTACAATAGTTTTAAACTCTTTTTAAGAGCACCATGTATCATGAGTAGTCTTATTTTATTTTATTTTTATTTATTTTAATTACACATTAATTATTATTATATTTGACGGCGCGTTTCTATTTTTAATAATATTCAGTCAATTTAAACTTGATTAATTAAGCATTGAGTTGCAAAATAAAAGTAATTCAATTGATTTTTTGACACATAGGTTAGGTACTGTCATATTATGATAATTAGATTTTTGTAATTTGATTGCATGCATGTAATAATTTTGATTTTGTATTATGATTCCAAAATAATTCTCTCTATTATTAAAATAAGCTTAGTTAAAAAAATAAGTCACTAAACTAAGGAGGGACTGTGTAGTCCGCGTGGGCTTGCGAGTTGCGTCAGCGTGCGTATTGGGGGTAGTGGGGAGGCTGCCTAAGTAGCAAATCAAAGCCCGGTCGTTCAGTTGTGCTCAAGACGTCGCGCTGAACGTAGCTCGCAATTCTACGTACTCCGTAAAGTATTCACATTGTTATTCTGTTCAAACGAATAAACGTTTTTTGTGTGAAGTGTTTCGGGTCTTATTTAACAAACGCTGCTTCCCGCCTATGGACTCGCATGAGCGTAACCACCAGCTCGGAAATCCTTCATATTAAAAGGATGCCAACGATTTCAAAGTCACGCTGTATGTCATCAGACCATCAGAGAAAAAAAAGATCGCCTATTTTATTTGGCAATATTTCGACATTAAAATATATTTACTATTTATGTATTCGTCATTAGAGTGAATAGCCCAGAAAAGAAATTAGTTTTTTGAAAGGCCTTAATATGGCTTTTTTGTAACTTTTTGGACTTGAGATAAAAACCGTCATTATTATAAGCCATTTTATTGATATTTGACTCAAAGATTAATGTGTTTCATTTTATTATAGGAAATTTTCGTAGTTTTTTTTAATATCCGGTATCCAGCCGGATAGTGAGCTACTATCCGGTATCCGGCCGGATAGTAAATTTAGGCCGGATATCCGGCCTACCGGATAGTTGCCGGATATCCGTTTCATCTCTAGTATAGACTAGCGACCTGCTCCGACTTCGCACGGGTACTAAGTCTACATAAATAAACCGTCTCATGAATCACTATTAAAAACTCATCTATTAAAAAAAACCGCATCAAAATCCATTTCGTAGTGTTAAAGATCTAAGCATACATAGGGACAGACAGCAGAAAGCGATTTTGTTTTATACTATGTAGTGATGAAAGGTATGATTTAGGGTGGATTCGACCAAACAAGAGTAAATATTAATATCAGAATAAATCGTCAGTTATGAAACATTTTGACATATTTCCCATACAGAAACTGTCAATGTGCCAGTTATACCAGGAGTTATTCTCAGATAAAAGTTTGGTCGAATCGGGCCTAAACGGGATCAAAACAGGTCTTGCAAAAAACGGGATGTATCCGTGGGTACAAGCCTTAATAATACGAACCCCGTCTTTATACGACATTGGACTGTTAAATACATCACGCGTACGCCATAACCCTCACGAGTTGACTTACATATATTAGTATTCCCCACGGACGGCCTACGATATTGCCCTTGCTGACAAAAATACGTCGCGGATCAAAACATCTTCATTTATATGGATATGGCTTCATGTAGGGGAGACTGAGTACAGTTGTAACAACTCGAATGTTATCGATAGGTGCTCGGTAGGTGAGGGGTACAAGAAGGGTGTGCCATGGTTGGGACCGTATGAATGAGACAAAGGTTGTTCTTAGTTTCGTTTATTAACGTGAACTACGAGATTGTTTATACGATATAGATTACAGATAAATAACGTCACAGCATCAACACCATACGTGATAAATGTGCTGACACTGTGAACGTGATCAAGATAAAATATGCAGAGATTAAATTAATATTGTGCAAATACATACGGGCGACTAGCCCATACAACCTCACCTGCCGAGCAACAGTCGAATTGTTACAACCATACCCTGTTACAACCGTACCCAGTCTCCCCTACGAGTATATACAGGGTGGGCTAATAATTTGCGCAAATAGCAACGCTTGATTTTTCGAAAACGGTTCGAGATAGAGACGCGTGAATGATGAGAAACTGTATAATTTTATGATTTTTTACTTACTGTGGAGCGTTTCACAGAACAACAACGTTCTTTTTCGCCCACTCTGTAGTCTGCCACAATGGAAACTGCCATTTTGTAAATGCATTAAAATAAAAATCGACGCAAAAACAGACCAAAATGTCTCAGTATCCTGAACTCGTACTAATATTACAAGATAAACAGCTCAGTGTCATGGTTTCTCGGCTTTATTTGAACTTGCGAACTTCGTACCTCCTATGTTTATCAGAAATAATGTAGGATTCCAACGTTGAAAGATTTTTCTCAAATAAATCAAACAATCAAATAATTCCTCTTTATAATATTAGTCAGATAACACAAATATTTCCAGTTTCTATTGGTACTGACTATACGTAAGCTGGCCTACGATCTCTTGTGTTTTTGTTTTGTTTTTGAAATGTTTTAGTTCCTATAAATAACAATGGCGATAGCCCACGCATAGCTTCCTAATTATGTCTTCCTCATTACTCGTAAGTAGATGCTTAAATTAGAAAACTTTTAATGCTACAAAAACATGAAAATACAAAATAATTATGTAACTTTATCATCATCATAATCATCAGGTCATTTAGTATCCACTATAAGAGCACGACCCTCTAATTTACCAAACGCAAATGAAGGATTTGGTCCTACACTCCCCACGCCTGGTCAGATGGGTTGGGAGGCTTGATGCTCCCATATTTCGTCGCTTGCCTCTCTAACTGACGTAACTGACATTTTGCAAAATTTTCAGGCGATTAGACAGATCGATTCGTCTTGTGTAGATAACTCAGTTTCGAAAAAAATGTCAGATACGTCAGTTAGAGAGGCAAGCGACGATTTGTTTGACATAAATGGAAAGATCGAGTAGGAGTGTTCTATCAATCTAGTCTGCCGGAAACACACGGCTTTTATTCGCGTAGGAGTATTCTCTGTCTACTCTGCCGGAACCACACGGTTTTTATGTTATTCATAGATAATAAATAAATAAATAAATCCAATTTTACGGCGCCACAAATCACTGTGCTCTCTGTGACAGTGATAAATGTACACAGATTGTCGTGTTGGCAACATTTGCGAACGATGATTCGCAGGTTTGCGTGTGTACGAATCAATTATATTAACGGTATCTAAAAATAACTCTTTGTAAAGCCCAGAAATTAAATAAAAACATACTTATTTCCTGTTTACAGATAATACGTACCTACTTACTACAGTCACGCGTTTACCCCAGCAGAAGAGGGATAACCCTCTAACATTTACATCTAAATCACTACTACATAACACTACATCATATTCTATAAGCTGTTATATTGTTACCGCAATCAAGTTATTAATAAAAATAACATTTGCTAAGACAGCTGTATTTTTCTGTACTAATCCAATCGACAAGTGTTTGCTGATTCATCATGAGTTTATTTACTCGAAAACTGAACTTATCTACGGGTGAAACTAAAATATAATCCACTAGGACTTTCGTAATGTTCATCATACTAATTTATGTCACAAGCGGGATTCGAACTAACAACATGCGATATAGTTCAGTACACGGACCGCCTGCCCCATAGACAAATATCCTTAGACATTTTACACTGCGCCTCTAGTCCCAAACTAAGTAAAGCTTTACTATGGGTACTAGACTACGGAAATATGTAAGTAAATTCACTCGGTCCTAGCTTTTAACCTAACTACTTCGCTTCACGAAGCGACCCCGAATGATATAGGACTGCGTCATGTATTCAAATCAGCTAACCTTTATGTGTTGGAGAGGAAAATGTAACATCAAAATATTTACAGTCAAGTAAGTTACTTGAAGTTACCTACAGGCCTACTCCTATCTTCTCTCTCTTTCTTTTTTGTCAATATTTAGGGATGTGGGATAAGGATAGAAGGTTACAAAAATACGGAAATCTAACTGCGTGGTCCAGATGTTTATGTTGATTCTAGGGTCCTAAATAAATAATAACATAGAGTATTTGCCATCATTTTATTGCGAGAGCGCGCGCGCCCTTGCTCGGCTCGCACACGAAGAAAGTCGGCGTCCCTTTGTAGTTCTTCAATATCTTGCTTTTCAGGCCCTCCACGTCGCCCTTCTTTACCTGTAGACAAGGTTAATAGTAACTTTTTCAATGTGTTACATATGTAGTAGATTCAGCATAAGAAAAAGATATTAGTTAGATTTACAAACTTTCAAATACACAAAACACCTTATATTTTCACTAAAACACAGCAAATGTTCGTAAAGGCGTTTGAGAAAAAGTAGCTTCCTTTCAGCTTTTACACAAAGAAGCGGTTGCGTTTTGTTTTCGTTTGAACTAGCTGTCCAAGCGACACCGCGATACGAATTTGTGATTTTCTTTCGTCGTGTAGTCGCGTTGTAGTTGAAAATATTTAGCGCAATCGGGGCCCAGGCTTAAGCTTTCAAAACGCGCGGCGCGCATATTTTACAGATTAGTAAGTTTTCCGTGGATGTGACTATATGATTTAATTTCAGATTTTTATTCAGTAATTTATTCATTAAAACTAAATATAGAACGGGAAATGTCAAGGACAGTTTATCTATAGCATAATTTAATTTACCCAGGATCTGTGGATTTGGGTACAAATGCGTATATGTAGAAACGGAAAGAGACATTAGCGAATTCGTTATGTGGTTTCCGGAGGACACACTGAACCAATAGGCCTGAATAAATGAAAATTGGAAGGAAGGAAAATAGGCTAAATCAGAGGTTCATTCATGCAGATATATATTCCGAATAAAATTCAATGGATCGGTTTTTCTGCCAACTTGACGAGAAACCTTGAAGAGATTCCCGTAGGAAATGAATAATATTATTAGATACCAAAATTACTAAAGTTTTTGAGGAAATCACGATCACGTAGCGTCGCACACGTTTCCTAGAAAATTGAGTTCAATATACAGACAGACGATTTGAATTCGATATTTATCATGTCTTCTGCCGACAACAGATAAATGAAAACAAAGGAATTTGCTTTATATATTTCTTGGATTGTAATACTTAAAGAATGTAAACATGAATAGGCAGATCTTATAAAAGAAGGGTCCTTAACCTCATAAATATTCTTAAACATCTAACAAGAACTAAGGGTATCAAAATTGTAATGATCCCGTGAATTTTCACTTGAAATATTTCAAATACCTCAAGAGGAACATTATATTATTATTAAATCACGAAGTTGTGGGCATGTTAATGAACATACTATTAATGAGGTATTTGCTGGCGTGTTTGACACTATTACCAATAATTCCAAAACACATTTTAGTTTTATATCGACGACTGGATTTTTAGTTGTTTTTGATTTAAAGTCAGTTAATTTGACAAAGTAGAAACATCGTCAGTTTATTTCACAATATTTATGGTAGAATCACGTGGTGTATAATTCTATTGTAATTCGTTGTTAAATTGCAGCTATTTTTTCAATTGCGAGAATTATGGTAGTAAGAATAAATAAATAAATAATATCCTTATCCTTATACATTTTACACTGCACTTCTAGTCCCAAACTAAGCAAAGCTTGTACTATGGGTACTAGACAACGGATATAAACATACTTAAATACTTTTTTTTGTAAATACATACTTATTATACATAGAAAACACCCAGTCCAATACAAACAAATATGTTCATGCACACAAATGTTTGTACTGTATGGGAATCGAACCCGCTACCTCCGGAATAGTAGTCCGTTTCGAACCACTACACCAAACGGCCGACTAGAACTACTAACCGACTAGACTAGAAGTAGAGAAGTATCTTACCAAAGCAACCACGCAGCCTCCAAACCCGCCCCCGGTCATTCTAGCCCCGTAGACCCCTGGTGCTCCTCTCATAATGTCCACGAGCTGGTCCTGTTCTGGGCAAGACACCTGCATCAGAGTGCTTAGCGACTCGTGTGACTGGTAGAACATTTCGCCGACCTGATGGAAGAATTTACAGGTGTTTAGGTTACTATTACTATACATATGGACCATCCTTGTGTTTTTAGATATAGCTGTAGATATTATCTAAATGTATATGTCACCGTAACATTGTGAATTCCGTCAGATTATAATCTGACGTAGTTAAATTACAATCTAACCTAACCTAAACCCACTGTTAGTTAACAATCTAACGCGTTATATTATAAACTGACAGAGTTCACAATTTCACGTTGACATATAGGTATAACTCAAAAGTGACTGACTGACTGACTGACTGACTGACTGACATAGTGATCTATCAACGCACAGCTCAAACTACTGGACAGATCAGGCTGAAATTTGGCATGCAGATAGATGTTATGACGTAGGCATCCACTAAGAAAGGATTTTACGAAACTCCACCCCTAAGGGGGTAAAACGGGATCCACGCGTACGAAGTCGCGGACGGCTGCTAGTTATACACATAGAATTAAAGTGATTCTAGATCACTATTGCTGAAAACTGCATTAAATCCTTCCATTGCGTAGTGTAAGCCTAGGCGCAGACTGCCGACTTTTAGTTGGATGATATTTCGGTCAGTGCGCACATAACATCGACGGATTCTTCATACAAATTAGAATCCGTCCCACCGCAACTATCGGCCAAAGAAAAGTCTAAAGTTTGTAGGGACTCTAAATACCCGTATTCACAAACATTACTATGAGGTCTCACGGTGCGCATGGACGCACAGGTGACACACGAACCAATCACAGAGCTCTATTCAAGGCTTTGCGTTCGATTTGCTGCTTCACTTAAGCAAGTATCGTTTGTGAATACGGGCGTAAAAAACCTATGTACAAACAACGGGAGTGACTTTGCTTTACTATTGTAAAGATACATTAGAAGACCTTTGACCATGAAGGTTGCTATGGGCTACTAATTCGCAAGAAACGCTTTGGATAATAAGCAATTTATAAAATTACTGAAGTGCAAGTAAGATTTCCGCGTAATGGAATACGGAAATAACATTTTCTCTTTGAACCTTTATTAAAATTAATGTAGCTTAAAAAGGTACAACAGGCAGCCATTTTGGATTTAAAACAAACTAGCGGCCGCTCGCGACTTCGTACGCGTTAACCCCGTTTTACCCCCTTAGGGGTTTAATTATACAAATCTCGCCGTAAAAACCATCCTCGGACTTCAAGGAACATTTAAAAAAAAGAAGTGGTAAAATTGGTCCAGGCGTTGTTGAGTTATGCGTTTACCAACACATTTTGCGATTCATTTTATTTCATAGATTTAGTAATTACATTCAAAAGCTGTTGAAACACTAATGAACTAATAGTGTTAATTAAATACGCTACGATAGTAATAGTGTTAAAATGTTTACACTTTCAATGAAATCTGTGTTCCTAGAAATAATTTGAGCGTGGGCAAGGGAAAATTGTTATTATAACTAATTAATGACTGCGAACTTCTAATTAGATTAATCAAGGTGTATTAGAGTGTGGTGAGGCCGTCGTAGCTAGGACCCAGTTATTGACACTGCACCCATAGTATGACTTGGGTTACTACACTTAATATCACATCATTTTTTTTAATAATTAATCGATTTCACAACATAGAAGTAAACATTTTACAAAATCGGACAATTTAAGATTAAAGTTAAGAAATATTCCTCAGATTTGTATATTCCTAATGCCTTCTTCAAAATAATTCCTGAGACCCCAATACATTACTAATGCTAGTTACAGACCAGGAACTAAGCTAAGTTAGTTTATTACGCAATTTTAAATAGTTTTGTGCAGACTGCAAACACTTGAAAACTGCTTCAGCTATACTAGTTATGCTAAACTAACTTAACTAGTATAGCTGACGCAGTTTTTCAGTGTAATTAATAGTATCAGACGTTACGTTGCGGAAATCCATAATTAGATATTAAAAAGATAAAATCACTTAGCTTAAAATTTCCGCTTAGTGACGCCAGCACAAGTACCCAAGCACAAATGCAAAAAGCACCGCCCGCCCTCCCTCAAATCGCATGTGCTTTTTGCATTTACTTGTACTTTAACACAGTTGATGCATGCGGGTAGTGTGGTTGGGCACTTGCGCCGGCGTCACTAAGCGGAAATTTAAAGTAAGTAATTTTATCTTTTTAATATCAAAAGTAACGTAAGCATAGCATGTGACATTCTGAAATAGGGTACTTATTATTTATTTACCCTATCTAAGTCCATCTGCGCGAGGCTCTTGGCCACCTGCTCCGTGCGGTGTATCTCATCGATGATGTGCTCAGCCCTCATCAGCACCAGCTTATCACAGTTCTGCCGTTTGAGTTCTGCAACAAAATTGTTTCTTACAAAACAACATTCAACCGCCTCTGTGGTCTAGTGGTAAGACCACCTGCTTCAGACGCAGAGGTCCCGGGTTCGATTTCCAGTGGGGGCCGATTTTTCTGTTCGGTTTGGTTGGTGGTAGGGCTTGTTCTAAGTCCGCCTGGCTAGCTACCACCATCTTACCTAAGTCTGTCGCTATATCAACATTGTTCAGCATTGTTGTGTTCCGGCAGTTAGAGGTAAGATAGCCAGTTCCTCCGTGGTTGAGGATTCCGGGTGAAGCTCGCTTCCACCTTCGGCCTGATCATCACTTACCATCAGGTGAAATACAGGCCAAGAGCTTCCTCGTTGTGGATAAAAAAAATCAGGTAGGTAGTAGGTACAGTCGACAGCACGTCAGACTATACATTTTTGTTGCAAAATAGACTGTATTACAACGAGATAAGATACCGCTGTGTATAGCTAATGTGCTGTCGTCCGTACATACTATGTTTATGCGTCACAAGTTTTGTCATAATCCCGAATGTGAAACTTTTTCCTCTTTAATTATGTAGGTAGCAACACTGAAGTTATGTCCCTAGTGTCGGACTTTATCTAAGATTTAATGGCCGTGTCCTATATAGGTAAGTCCTAATTAATCATACGTCATTTGTGACATCCGCTCATGGCCTGTTTCTCACCTGATGGATTGAAAACTTACTATTAGACCGAAATCAAAAACATATACTTGATCAACAGTTAAATCTAGTACAACTGTCTAACCAAACTAGGAAAAGGTAGCATCAATTTATTGTGTGCTATCTTGGTATCAGGACCTTTTTTAATCAATAGACAATAGAGTCATTGAGGAAGAAAATGCATGTTTAAAGTACCGTACTTTAGTAGGAATGCGAACCAATTTGAAGTTATTAACATTGATCCTTTCGTAATTGATGAAAACTTCGTGATACATGTCACTAAGGGCCACAGCACATTTTACTTTTAGCAACGGGGTTTTTGCGACTGTATCATTGCAGCACCGCGATTTCGCGATTTGTGCGTTCGGACGCGGTATTGGAATCGCTTTAGCGACTGCTGTCGATGTTGCTGCATCGAGCTTCCCAAAAGCAACTCAATCGCTGCATTTGGAGTTTTTTGTTGTATGGGGAGATAAGTGGTCGCTGCATTCAGCTTCTAAAAACGGCTAAATCGCCCATAGCCAATGCTAATAGTAGTAGGTATGTATAATGCTTTAGTTCTAATCCAGCGGGACGAAACTCATTTGACGGCAAGAACAAAGAACTATATTATTACCAAATTTTTCACTCCAGCGCTTATAGCTCTTTTAGGGGAATCACCTAAGTGTGAAACAAGTCGCTATTTCAAAGGATTTCCAGGAATCATCCCATATTTGACCCTGCTTTTCATTAAAATTTAAGCGGAATCCCTACATGATTTTCTATTGACTGACTCTGAACACACAGTAGTGGTAAACGTTATTGCAAATAACTTTAATGTACGAGTATAGGTCCCAGCTGGGACTCAGAACTTCTGAGTTAAATATATCATGAAAAAATGTCGCGATAATGTTTGCTACAATTCTTCATTAAAAATCACATAACGTACTTCCCCGTTGCAAATAATTTTCTACTCATCTATATTTATTTATTTACGACAACCAACAAGGAACGAAGGTGGACCGACGATCTGGTAAAGGTCGCGGGAAGAGCCTGGATGCAGGCAGCGCAGGACCGTTCATTGTGTAAGACCTTGGCGGAGGCCTTTGTCCAGCAGTGGACGTCATTTTTCTGAAACGAATGAACCAACAAGACAGACAGAAGCAAAGGGGTAAAGTAAACGAGTATATATTTTTTTATCCACAACGAGGAAGCTCTTGGCCTGTATCTCACCTGATGGTAAGTGATGATCAGGCCGAAGGTGGAAGCGAGCTTCACCCGGAATCCTCAACCACGGAGGAACTGGCTATCTTACCTCTAACTGCCGGAACACAACAATGCTGTTAACATTGTTGTTATGGCGACATTTTATCTTAGGACATAATATTTTGTCTTAGGACTGGGTGCTATCTTAATTACAAGCTGCCAAGGCATGCAATAAAATAATGTAAAATACAGGATTTGAATTTACTCGAGTATTTCCTCGACCTACGAGTATTTAGGTACGCGAAATATTTCTCTTTGGGTGGCGTCCTGAGAGGCTGTAACAAGATATCTCCAAAAGCAGTGCCAAGAAGCTTAGCGTTATTATGTATGAACACATCATGCGTAAGTCGGTCTTATGGCGGAAGGGGAGGTACTGTTTTTCTAAGTAGGTAGACACTCATATATTATTTCTATTAGGGCCAAAATTTACCGTCGTTTTATATAAAATAAAATAAAAAACAATATAATGTCATATTTTATTGTAAAATAACATTCAATGTAAAAGATTACTCGGAAAATATTACGAATACGTGTCTTCCTAAAAGAGCTAGTAAAATCCATGATTAAAAACATGAGAAGTAACGTAAATAACGTAACATATATTTCCTTTTTTCGTTAAACGACGATAAAAATTCAAATTCAGACACGTGTATCGTAACAATAAGATTCATTTTACATTCTCTTTGTAAAAAATTTTGATTATTACTGAATTACCTTCAGGAAACGTGCCGGCGATTAATTTAAATAATTTTCGTGCTCGATGCCTTACGAAATTAATAATTAAAATTTGAGACTCGCTGTTATAAATAAGGGATTTATGTCATTGACACCTAGGGTATCGAAATAGGACTTCAATTTAAACCAAACTTACTTTGAGATAAACTAAACTTGACTACGAAGGCCAGCCAGCCTTTTATAATATGGAAATAAGGTTCTTTTCATATTTTCCTCGTAAATCAGGCAGTACCTACAGCAGACAATTCCTCGTAGGCAGATTACGGCTAAATGTACCCTCAGAGATACAAAATCACCTTCTTAGATGAATCAAGCATGTCAGAACTAAACTATGTAAAGCTGAAACCGTTACACGAAGCTTGTTGTTTAACCTAAAGTTTCCTAGACTAGCTTTACCTAGGAAAATGGTCTACCTATTATCTATACCGACCTGCCATCGGAAGTTTGGCCTAGTTTAGGTGAAACATGAATCCACTAAAAACTATTCCTTCTCCTGCTTAGTGGACGGCGCCGTTCTGTTTCTAATAACAACCAACCAACCGTGCGCTGCCCGCATCCACCAGACTCTTTCCGCGACCTTCACCAGATCGTCGGTCCACCTAGTAGGAGGCCTGCCCAAGTGACGTCTTCCGGCCCATGGTTGCCACTCGAGAACTTTTCTGCCCCAACCGCCATCGTCTCTACGTGCTATGTGCCCCGCCCACTACCACTTGATTTTAGCAATTCTGCGAGCTATGTCGTTTACTTTGGTTCTCCTGCGGATCTCCTAATTTCTGATTGGATCACGTAGCGAAACTGCGAGCAATACGATACTGGTTACGCTACATACCTTCTCCCTTCCAAGAGCTTCCCCGTAGCACCCTCCCCACACTGGGAGGGAAGATGAAAGGTAGATGAAACAGTTCTGATACTACGCTACATCATACCTTCTAAGTCTTTCCTGGTAGCGCCCCTTAGAGAGGGCAAGCCAAGCTTGTCAGCCGCCTCCTGGCACTGCGCTCTCCGCTGCGGATACTCGCTGCCAGTCAGCTGGTGCTTCACGTTGGAGTTCACCACCAGGATCGCAGTGTCTCCCGTATTTATTGGAATGTGCTTGGCTTCTAACGACCTGGTGACAATATTCTTATTGTTACAGTAGGAACGTGAACTGAACTTGAACTGAACGTGAACTGAACGTGAACTGAACGTGAACTGAACGTGAACTAAACGTGAATTGAACGTGAACTGAACGTGAACTGAACGTGAACTGATCGTGAACTGAACGTGAACTGAACGTGAACTGAACTCGAACTGAACGTGTTACGGTGGTGGCTCCGAGCCCTATCACAAGTGGCGCTGTGCCGTATTGATGGGTCCAGGCCCTTTTGTAATCAGAGCCGTGAAGAATGAGTCCGGATAATCGGATGTCCGGATAGTCGGGATTCTACTGTATTTGATTTTTTGGAATTTTCGTTACGACGCAAAGTACGATTCGCATCTATTGACTATCTTATAGAGAAGATCCCATCTGTAAATTGTATATCGCGACTTTTGATTCTTCTTTCTGATTGTACTTTAAGAAACTGAGTGGTACCTAATGCTTTATTACTTTATTGTCTTTCAATTAACGTTCTGTACAATGCAGTCTTTTATACAATAGATACAATGTAACTAATTATTTCAAGTAATCCTTTCAGTCTGTGAGTCTTTTACAATCGCTTTTATATTGATATTCCTAGTTGTATCATCAAATAAACTCAATCGAGTACGAGACTAACCGTAAAAAACTAGAAAACATTAATATTATAAAAACATTTTAGGTTTTCCATCTAAATCGCGTTTCTATGCCAATATTTACACTTTTAGAACCAGAAAAAGGCAAACTAACTTTTTTTAACGCTCCGTTTTCCATTACCTTTTATTTGCTCCTTTAGAAAATATAAAAAAGATTTTGTGAAAGTTATTTGATCGTAAATGATTTAGTACCAAAGTTTTACCTAGCTACTCGTACTAATTTAGGATCGACAGAACCTTAACTATTTTCTAATGCCTGTCTGAAGTTTTGGTTACTATCAAGCTACTTAAGCTAAGTTTAAAGCTAGGAGGTTAGAAGGCTTTGAAACTATCGTAACCGTATTCACAAACGATGCTTGCTTGAGTGAAGCAGCAAATCGAACGCACAGCGTAGAATAGAACTCTGTGATTGGTTCGTGTGTCACCCTGTGCGTCCACGCGCACTATGAGACCTCATAGTAACGTTTGTGAATACGGGCGTAAGATACGAGGAGCTAACGGGACTATTAGTAATTTGTGCAAAAACAAATTAATACTCAATACTCAATATTTTATTGCATCCATTATGTACTTAAAATTAGAACATTATGGGCCCTGTAGGGCACGGCAATTAGGAGAGAGGAGGACCACCCTAGATCAACCGAAAGATGTCAGAAGTTAGAGCCTAGTAATTTATCGTTGAGATACTCACTTAGAGCATAATAGTGTTTAGAAATTAAAAGTTCTTTAAGTTTTTTTACAAATGTTAATTCTTTGGGTGTATTTTTTATCGAAATTGGAAGCTTATTAAAAATTTTGATTGACATGGAAAGTGGACCCGATGAGTACAGTTCAAGGCGGGATGGAGGTGTTATTAGTTTTTGTCGATGTCGTAAATTGTATGTACTGTCGATGTCTCCTCGTTTTTTGTAAAATTCTGGGTATTTTTTGACAAATTTACACGTCTCTAATATGTATATGCTAGGTAGGGTGAGTAGGTATATTGTGTTTGGCAAAATATGGTTTACAGCTATCGATATTTTTTATGTTAAATATTATTCTAATAAGTTTTTTTTGGAGGATCAGGAGATCTTGGGCATCTGTACTACTTCCCCACATAATTACTCCGTAGTTGAGCCACGAATATGCGTATGCGTAATACGTACTGAGTGCTGTCGGTAATTACTAATATTCTTTTATGATTCAACCACACCAACGCGTGCAGATCGCCATCGCCGGTGCGATCACGGCGCGATCATAGGCCAATGACAGGTCGCGCGGACTGTCATGGGTCGCGCGGACTGTCATGGGGCGCGCGGACTGTCATGGGGCGCGCGGACTGTCATGGGTCGCGTGACCTGTCATTGGCTAATGATCGCGCCGCGATGGCGATCTGCACGCGTTGGTGTGGTTGAAGCTTTAAAAAAATTGTAGGTCACTAACCTGCAGTCTATTAACAGAGCATGGTCCTTTCTGGCCAGTGTCACAACGTATTGGTCCATGATGCCGCAAGGCATTCCGGGGAACTCGTGTTCCGCCTTCTGACACAGCTTCGCTTTTTGGACTGGGCTGAAACAAATAATAATGAGTTGTAATATTGAGGATGTCATCCTAAATAATCAAGAGGTTGACGAAAGATTATTTACTTATTTGGTCAAGGCTAGTTTCACTAATTGCTGTTAAAATTCCTGATGACATTTAAGAAAGTTTCTGTCAATTAAAAATTCTTAGCTTCAGATAACAGCTAAAATGTCATGCACTAGCATATAAAACTTCACTAACATAATGTATTAGCATAGTTGCTAGCATAGCATAGTATTAGAGATATCCTCCGGTGATCATACATATTGAGTCAATTCGAATTTATTTACTGTAGTAATCAAGTTCAAGTTTAAGTAATAAAGTTAAATATACCTAATGTAATACTCAACTTAGACCATCAAGGCAAACATCGAACCTATTATTCGTTCGCGTACGTTTTCTAAACAAATAGTAGATACCTACAATACGTAACAAGTTATTAAAACTTCTGAGGCCACGTACTTATATTGAAATTATTTATGAACTCTCAGAAAGTTTCAATCAGTTACATTAAAGCTTCAGCCAAACCAACGCGACGCGTCGGCGATAGCGATGGCGATGGCTATATGGCCATCACTGCGCGTGCATTATCGCCGCGACCAATGACAGGACGCGTTGATGTGAACTCATCGCTACCGCTACCGCTATATAATAGGTAATCGCCATCGCAGGCTGCACGCTTTGGTTTGGCCAAACCATACGACGAACTTTTCGTTGAAATTGCCAAAATTTTCTAAGTAACTGATTCATGCGTTGCCTTCATTCATAATTCGTGTAATTCTATTGTTCCAAGGTATCCAATACGTGTTTGTAACTTACTTTCGAGTTTTGACACAACCACGTGTTAAATCTGCTGACACTTTTGGCAAATTAAATTGTTGTTAGTTGAACGTTGTCTGATGCCCAATTATATGGATGAGATACTTACTTCAAAGTCATTAAAAATGCAAAAAATAATTTACAAATTCTTTTTTTCAAATTGTCAAAAAACCACCATTGGTATCGATCCTAAAGCTTGGTTGCAACATTTTACTTTAACTTTAATAAACGCCAAAAATCTGTCAAACTCCTTAAAAAACACCGGTTTTAATTATGGTCAAGTTAAGGTGGTGCAACTCAGCCTATGTTATCCTAACTGTCATCATGCTGGCTGCATTTGGTAACTGTGAATAATGCTAATCAACAAAAATATCGTAAAAAACATATTCTTATACGTTATCAATCGAAGGTTGAATCGAACAATTTATTTATTTTATTTTAGTTTGGGATAACAAACAATTTCGCAATAATGCAAATCAAAATAAACAATCAGAATCATGTCATATTTAGATTATTTTTATCTCTGATTCATGAATACAATTTAACGTCGGATGTCCCTTATACATTCGATTTCCTAGAAGCAAACCTGTTAGGATCGACTTGACATATGATACACACACGGCCGAATACTGAAACGCCATTTAAATATTTGACGGCTTCTCAAATAGTTAAGCAGCTCCTAAACTTACATTTCGCATACTCAAAACAATATCTGAGCAGTTCTCAATTTTTAAGCACCTCTCAAATTAAGTTGCACTCAAACGCCACTTAAATGAATTTTCGCATACTGAAACGCCATTCAACGCTAAGCATTACTCAAACAACTGTCAAATCGTCTTAAGCAGCTGTTAAATTTGAGAGTGCTTGCGCGGTATCTTAAATCCTATTGTTATACCTAAAACGACCTAAATAGTGGTAAATAATGTGTGTCATCGTTATCATTTCTTTCGAGCCTCGAGGAAATACCTAGATCTAATCGCAGGAACGCAATAAGGCTGAACGCTATTGAAAAATATTATTATAATGACATGCAATTCCGAGCGAGGTTCCGCGTCTCTAAAGAAACGGTGTTGTTTCTGGATTCATAATTTGGAAGCTCTTTGAAACCCCTCACCAAATGCCATACAACCAGTGGACCAAATACTTATTATAACCCTACTGTTCTACGCAACGGGAAGTTATGAACGTGTACTAGGTGATATCTTCCACATCTAACAGCCAACTGTGCATCGTATAGTGCACGAAGTAACAACCAAAATAGCTGCTATGAAATCGCTTTACATAAACATGCCTATTTCTGAGGATTAAGGGGACATCGCATAGCAGCATTTCCAAGAGTTGTTGATTTGTCAATTTGATGCTCTGTCAGTCAACAATGATAAATGTCAATTGTGGTTACGTTTCGGTCCACGATCGCCACTTAATAGATTTCAACAATAAAAAGTATCATATTTAAAATTATTTTTTTAATTAAATAAAAATGCAAGCATTATTATTTTTATATGATAAAACGAGATTTATATATAATAGAAACTAAAAATAAACTGTTCTATGTTAAGTTGATTGAGTATATTTCCATAAAAGACAATACATAACCAAACGATGCTGCGTGTAATGGATAAAAGACGTAAAGTTATCATTTGTGTAAATGAAAACATACTTTTTTTGGTAAATGTTGCCATTATGTAAACATTTGAGAGCTGCTTAGCTGATCACGGCTTCAAATCCGTTGAGTAGCGTTTGAGAATACCATTTAAAATTGAAGGATACTTAAATTTAGGAGCCCGTCAGCTGAGTGACAGATTTAAGTAGTGTTTCAGTATTCGGCCGACAGTCTATTATCGGTAAACGATACGGATTCAAATACATTACATTATTAAGTAATACGAGGTATCTGAGGTAACTATAATCTATACTAATATTATAAATAAAAGCTGAAGAGTTTGTTTGTTTGGTTGAACGCATTAAACGCCAGAACTGCTGGTCCCACTTGAAAAAATATTTTTGTGTTGGATGTCGAGGAAGACTTTAAGCTATACAGGGAAGAAACGATAAGTGATCTCACTCGATTATTTCTAAGCTATACAAAATATCGAAAAACTGGTTACTGATCCTGAAAGTGCTTCACGAGCTCTTTCAAACGGTACCAATAAATAGGTAACATAATAAACTGGATATATCCGAAAATTCAATGTTTCCAGCTTGCAGCAGCAGCAGCCAATAAATGCGGAGCAGTAAAGAAAAATGTTTCAAAAACGGGAAATATTAAAACTATTTTCACGCGGTCAAAGTCACGGGCATAGCTAGTAATCTATAGTCCTGATAACAAAGGTTAAAAGCTTAGAACTTTCACCCTTATTGACGCACTTTATGTAGTACTAGATCAGTTACGGAACTATTTTAATTTCTAGTTCCGAACATTGAAGATCTACTAGCTGACCTGGCGAACTTGGTGAAAGAATTTTTCAAATCGGTGCAGTAGTTTTCGAGCCTATTCAATGTAAATCAAAAATTTCCTCTTCATAAAAAGTATTAGTGGTTTTATAAAACTACCACTGTATCGTATCATTAACCAGGTCCACTGCTGGACAAAGGCCTCCACCAAGGAATTTTATAACAACTGGTCCTACTCTGCACACATTCATCCATGTTCTTCTGTGGGTATACACCTATAATTAAAATTAATCCACTTAAACCCAAGTAAAACACCCTTTATTTTAAAACATTCAATTAATAACAAATCGCATAAACCCAAACACTCTAAAAAGGCTTACGCGCTATTTGTTTCATGTCTCTTGTAAAACGTTTTTCTTATAATAGACTAAGAGCTAGGCAACGCCAGACTTACGTCATTTTATAAAAGCTGAAAGTTTGTCAGCGTATGCCCCCAATATAGGTTAGGATGTTGGTGCATCATGAAGTTTGGGTCATCGTGGCTTTGGCAGCTACCCTCAAAAGATTGTCTAGCAAGGAGTTGGAACTGTCAAACCTGTTTGATTGATGAGGAAACAACTTCTATTTTATGTGTAGTATTTACTACACATAAAAATCGGCTTCTATGGTACACGTAAGTAGAATTACAGTCCAATAAATATACAGCAAAGGCCACCGTAAAAGTTAGGCTTACGTTATACCTTAAAATCTGATTTTTATACAATAATATTTGGCCATATAAGCCACGATGACCCAAACTTCAAAATGCACCAACATTCTAGCCTATTCTGGGAGCATGTGCTGACAAACTTTCAGCTTTTATAAAATGACGTAGGTTTGGCGTTCACTAGCTCTTAGTTTATAAACTTCTAAATGATAAAATCTGTACCCCCAGTGAAAAGGGATCTAACTCGACTTAGATCAAAATTGACTTTATAACATAATGTGAATCTCTGAAAAATTAGCTATTTTTGTATCTAATCGGTATGTTTCTACGACGTAAAGAAAAGAAAATAATTTTGTGCCAAATGATACAAGTAAGGCTTTGTGAACCAATTTTGTCATACATGTCTACTTTTAACAAAGTGTACCGGAGGCTTCTTTCAATTTTTTATTGTGTCAAGAAGTACGACTCGTATTACTACTTTTTACACGATTGAAGTTGTTCAGATTGAATTTGTGATTAACAATATAAGATGACTCATATTAATATACTCGCCACTTATATCACTTTACACATAATTATTAGGATACTTAGATCGCTATTAAGTTAGTTAGATCAGTTTACACATTTTTTTTCTCATCACAAAATTGGTGTATATTGATATAAGTAGAAATTTTTGGACGATTTACCCTAAATAACCTGAAATAATGATTCCTCATAGTGTAATTACTAATGTTTGTTTTACAACTTTTTCTAAAATTAAAGAAACAAAAAAATATCAACATACATGGCGTAAAATGTATCACTTTACACTTGTTAGCGGGTGGTCAATTCAGTGTGGTGTAAAATGATTTATGTCCCATTACATCACTTTACACGAATGTAAAATTGCCGTGCATGGCGATATAACTGGGTTTTTATTTAATTACGAAAAAACTACATGCTATATTTCCCAAACTGGCACACTGCCTAATTATATCTAACATTACCTTTCACCTAAAAAATATTTCACCAAGTTATCTCTAATAGCGACGAAGCAGGATTTTTTTAAACTTCAAATGCGATTTCCCAA